AGACAATAATAGGTAATAGTATTAAATCCCAATCAACTGGTGCAGTCCATCTTCTCATCAGGTTGGCAAAATTAAGTGAAAAATCTACTTACAGTAGGTCATCCCTATAAGTGTAACGTAGCTTTTACCAAACGGATCTCATCATCCATCACGAATATACCAAATTCGGAGGAACTGTTCTCAGTGGCATATCAGCATGGGTCCAGAAAAATAACTTTTAGAAACAGGAACAACGGATAAACATAATATTGCACCAGTAGCAATTATGGTTGAAATCACAAGGTTTTAAACCTTGTTCGCCATCATCATGGCGTCGTGTATTACCACGACACGACTATTATACCAAAATGGCGGTATACCTATACCATGAAGGCCTGAAAAGAAGTCATCATGATGCATGTGTTTTTCGATGTATTTTATTATGGTTCGATTTATAATTTTCAGTGCACTTTATTGCAAAAGTTTTATTTTACTTGCCTAAAGGTGTTAATCGGCCTTCATCACCAAAATTTTCATTATTTTCTGTTTAAGTTCAACAGCACGAACTTTTCGTGGCATTTCAGAAAAATGGCCCCTAGAGAGAGAGAGAGAATCGTCGTTCTTCCCGGAGGTACTCTGACGTTTCCAAAAACCCTATTTACATCAGGCTGCTCGCTCACAGGACACTTCGGAAACCGTGATAGGTGCCGAGTGTGGTGTGAGTAGTGCTTTGCCTTGAAGACCTTGCTTGCTAAGTCTCTTACTGGCAATATATTATTAGGTTTTACGCTTCTTACGACTAGGTCACAGATGTGCCAAACGAATATAAAACGGGAAGAATAAGACGTGATAGTCTAAACAGCTGTTCGCTAATATTTATTTGCAAAATAAACATAACCCCTTGAAGAAATAATATATGAAATCGAAAACACATCAGATGAAATCTTTTACAGAGAACAGGTTAGGTAGCCTGATTTAATTACAATGAGAAAACAGTTTGGCGAGGGTTCAATGTAAGTACGATTCATTTTGATTATTACTGGGTGTTGAAACTGACATGGTTAGTATCCCAAAGTAGTTTCTAAGTAGGATTTTCAGCGATCAAGTCTCTGAAAACAATGCATCCCGCAGCATAACACGAGTGTATATACCTATGATGGACAGGAGTTATGAACGATCCACTAGTGGACCGTTACAAGATAGATAGATAGATGGATAGATAGATGGATAGATAGATAGATAGATAGATAGATAGATAGATAGATAGATAGATAGATAGATAGATAGATAGATAGATAGATAGATAGATAGATAGATAGATAGATAGATAGATAGATAGATAGATAGATAGATAGATAGATAGATAGATAGATAGATAGATAGATAGATAGATAGATAGATAGATAGATAGATAGATAGATAGATAGATAGATAGATAGATAGATAGATAGATAGATAGATAGATAGATAGATAGATAGATAGATAGATAGATAGATAGATAGATAGATAGATAGATAGATAGATAGATAGATAGATAGATAGATAGATAGATAGATAAATAGATAGATAGATAGATAGATAGATAGATAGATAGATAGATAGATAGATAGATAGATAGATAGATAGATAGATAGATAGATAGATAGATATATAGATAGATAGATAGATAGATAGATAGATAGATAGATAGATAGATAGATAGATAGATAGATAGATAGATAGATAGATAGATAGATAGATAGATAGATAGATAGATAGATAGATAGATAGATAGATAGATAGATAGATAGATAGATAGATAGATAGATAGATAAATAGATAGATAGATAGATAGATAGATAGATAGATAGATAGATAGATAGATAGATAGATAGATAGATAGATAGATAGATAGATAGCTTTTCGTGGGAATTGAATGGAAACAGAAAACAGTACAACGAATCATGACAAATCAGGATTGGTTAATCCTGAGGCATCAAAGGCGGATGAAGGATCTTTCAAGATGCATACGAAGGAAGAATACCAACAAGTATTCGGGCGCAGGGACTCACTGAAGCGCTCCCCCATCGGGAAGAAACGAACGGATGAAAGGCATGAACAGGAAGTAAAGGGATGGGAAGACGAAAATTTGTTCTCTTGCTTTGCAGAAAATATCTTTGAAAAAGAAGATCATTTTGTGGAAGACGCATCAAAAGACCTAGGCTCACAAATCAGAGCATCAGAAACTGAAAGGTTGAAAAGAAAAAGGATAGAAGGTACTCCAGATAAGAAACGAGCAGATGAGAAGGGGTTCATAGAGATTAAAAAAGAAACCGAGAAAATGAACCTGAAGTTCGGTAAACTCAATAAAATAGTCTCAGAAAGCACAAATATCAAAAAAGAGATCAAAACAATATGTTGTCAGCTAGAATTGATACTTGATACACTGAATAAGAAAGTAGAAGAATATGGAGAAGAGGACTGGGATGATCAAGAAACAAAACAACACATATCACAGAAAAAATATAAAGATAGTGAAACACAAACATGCGTTCCAGCTACAAGAGAAATATCATGTCAGGCAGGAAGACAAGAGGCAAATGAAATTCTACTTACAGAAATAATAGAAAAAGGACCAAACACTGAGGATTTCCTGCAAATCTTGAACGAGGAATGGCCAGATGATATATATAGCATAACTGAGGAGGTGAAGGGTAACCCAGCGAGAGGAAAAGAGGGGAGAGATATAGCTCTCATCTGGGATCCTCAGGACAATGGAGAAAAGGGTATCACAAAAAGTATAATTGAGAGCCACCCAGAAGTTGAAGAGCTGCTGACGAATAAGCTGAATCAAGATGAGATAGACTATATTGCCAATAGTACTAAAACTATAACCAGCAGAGGTCAAAATATAGAGAAAACCCAGTACATATATTTGCTTCAGCACCAAGGAAAAAGGAATGAGGAAGATGAAAGGAATCTGAAATTAATCAGAATGGGAATAGAATTCAAGGAGCTGATGGTGAAATTGAACAGAAACGAAGTAGCTGTTGTGATGTCAGAAGGTCTCGATAGAATAACGATGAGGAAAATACTTGAAGGAATATTCAGAGGAACAGACGTACGGATAAGGATGTATTCTCCGTTAGGAAGCAAAACGAAAGAGAAACCTCGGGTGAACGAAACTGTCCTAATTAAAGCAGGAGAGAAGAGCTACGCAGAACTCCTGATGAAAGTGAAACAAGAAATCGATATAAAAAAAATCGGAGTGGAAATAAAGGACATAAGGAAGACAAATAGCGGAGATCTGCTACTGACTGTTGACGGAGATAGAAAGATGGCGACGACGCTGAAGGATGAGATCAGCAGTAAGATTCAAAACGTTAAAGCTGATTTGAAGAGAAATCATAACACAATATATATATTAGGAATTGATGCTACGACCAAGGAGACAGAAGTGATGCAAGAACTGACAAGAGTCACCAAACTAGATGAATGTGATATGACTATCAGATCATTGAAACCAGGAAAGTATGAGCAGCTTGTAGCTACAGTGGATTTACCAAAAGACAGTGCACAACAACTGGTACAAACTGGGAAAATTAAAATTGGATGGGTATACTGTTCAGTCAAGGAAAGAGTCATCGTTCCAAGATGTTTCAACTGCTTGGAACATGGACACAAATCGAAGGATTGTAAAGAGACAACCAGTCGAAGAGACACTTGCCTGAAATGTGGTGTATCTGGACATAAAGCTAAAGAGTGTGAAGCGGAGCAAGTATGTATCAAATGCAAAACCAGTGGGCATCAGGCCGATCAAATGAGGTGCCCATACTACAAAAAGATCGTGGAAGAGATGAGAAGAGAGAGAACCATAACAATTGGGGGAGGAAGAAGAGGAAGTATCGCCAGGAGACCTCTATAAAAATGGCTATTAAAATCCTGCAAACAAACCTGGGTAGGACAAGAGCGGCACATGACATAGCAGATGTTATAGCGATGAAAGAACAAACGGACCTCATCATAATATCCGAGCCAAATGTGAAAATTGCCTCCAAGAAAGAATACATTATGGACCTCAGCGAAAATATAGCAGTTAAAATATTGAATAAAAATTCGGGAATTCGGAAGCACAAAAGGTACGAAGGTTTTCTGTCACTATCCTTCAAGGATTGGATGATATTTTGTTGCTATATCTCCCCGAATATATCTTTCGACGAGTATAAAAAAATTATTGACTCTGTTATGGCGGAAGCTAGAAACTGTGCTAAAGAAGTTATTATAGCAGGGGATCTTAATTCTGAATCACCTCTATGGGGATCTCCAAATCAGGATAAAAGGGGAGAATATATAGCTGACTGGGCATCGGAATTGAATTTAACATTTCTGAATACTGGTGAACCTACGTTTCAGAGAGGGAGTAGCTTCTCACACATAGACGTTACATGTGCTACTGAAAAAATGACAAGAAGAATATCCAATTGGAGAGTACTATCCGGAGAATTCCATACCTACCATCATCATATTCTGTACTGCGTGGATGGAAATAGAAACAAAAGGAAGATAATACGAAAACAAACTGGTCTTGATAAGGAAAAATTTGCCATTAATTTCATCAGAAGAATGGAAGCCCGTAGAGAACACAACAAAGACACACTAGTAAAAGACATTAAAGAGGCAGAAAAAGAGAGTAGCATAATTATTTTAACCGGCAATGAGGATACACCATATTGGTGGAAGGATGATATTGGAAGAAAAAGAATGGAATGTCTGCGAGCCAGAAGGAAAGCTACCAGACTACACAGCAGATTTGGAAATGATAACGAACAATTCAGACAAGCCCACGAGGAGTACAGGACCAATAAAAAAGATCTGAGGAATAGTATCAGTAGAGCAAAGAGAGAAAGCTGGAACAAACTGATCAAAGATCTAGACGAAGACATTTGGGGCTCTGGATATAAGATAGCAGTGAAGCATATGGGGAAAGTATCACTTCCTTACAATATTCAAATAGAACAAAAAGTAGAGTGGTGCAAGAAATTGTTTCCAACAAGTGGTGAAAGAAAATACAGATGGGAAACGATCCCTGAAGATGAGATACATCCGTTCACTCAACAAGAGCTGCAGGAAGCCGTAGATTCCATGAAACTAGACAAGGCGTCTGGTCCGGACAGGATAACACCAAATGCCGTTAAGATAGCAGCCGAAATAGCACCCGAAATTGTACTAAAAGTTCTAAATAAACTGCTGAAAATTCAAGACTTCCCGAGAATATGGAAGGAAGCTCTAGTAGTCCTTATATGGAAGGGGAAAGAAGAAATAGAAGCCTCCTCATTCAGGCCAATCTGCCTTCTGAATACACTGGGTAAGCTCTATGAGAAGTTGATTAAAACTAGACTGGAAAACGAAATAGAAACAAAAGGCGTTATATCGAGAAGACAGTTTGGATTTAGGAAAGGTACATCCACAATTCATGCAATTGAAGAGGTTATCAAAATAGCAGAAGAGTCGAATAGCAAATGGATAGCCCTTATAACCGTTGACATCAAGAATGCATTTAATTCGGCACCATGGGACTGCATCATGGACAAAATATCGAATAAACAACTCTCCAGCTGTATGAGGAATTTGATAGACAGCTATTTGAGTGACCGTAGTATAAAGCTAGACAGGAACAATAAACTGAAGATAACGACAGGTGTTCCACAAGGCTCTGTTCTTGGTCCAACCCTTTGGAATATCTTATATGACGAAGTATTGGACCTGAGGTTGATGGAGGGTGTTACTACAATAGCATACGCTGATGACCTAGCCGTAATAATAGAAGCAGACCAAAATGAGCAGTTAATATACAAGACCAATGAATCACTCAGAAGAATCACTAACTGGATGAAGAAACATGGGCTACAAATAGCACCACACAAAACGGAAGCAGTTATACTAGCAGGTCCCCGTAAGATAGAGAACATTCATTTCAGCATAGAAGGCCAGGAGATAAAGAATGTTAGAAGTGTCAAATACCTAGGAGTTCATTTGGGTACTAAACTTGACTTCAGATCACATATCATATACGTCACACAGAAAGCAGAGGATAAACTATCTTCTCTGAGTCGTTTGATGCCAAACGTGAGGGGCCCTGGAAGCACGAAAAGAATCGTTCTGTATGGAGTAGTACAATCCATACTATTATATGGAGCTCCCATATGGGTGAAGGCACTTGGTGTCAAGAAGAATACGCAACTGCTAACTAGAGTACAAAAGAGAGCGCTACTGAGAGTAATAAGTGGATATAAGACAATATCAGCAATTGCAGTACAAGTAATCGCAGGAATTCCACCTATAAAACTATTGGCGGAAGAAAGATTTCGACTACACAGTAGACAAAATGCTCGATCAGCAGCGATAAAATTGAAAGAGAGGGAGAAAACGCTGGAATGCTGGCAAGAGAAGTGGAATCAACCAAGCACGGAGGGAAATTGGACGAAGATTTTAGTGAGAAATATAAAAAACTGGGTGGAATGCTCACATCGAAGGACAAACTACTTCCTGACACAATTTTTATCCGGACATGGTTCTTTCGGAGACTTCACTCACCGAATTGGCAAATCGGTAACGGATAGTTGCATCCATTGTTCTGAAGCGGACTCTGCCGAACATACTGTCTTCAACTGTATCAGATGGGTAAGAGAGAGAGCAGAACTCAATAGAAATCTGGAAGTCACCATCGAAGTGGACAATATTATTGACCTAATGATGAGTAATAAAGCAACATGGATTAGTATAGAGAGATACATACAGCATATAATGAGCATCAAAGAAGAGGAAAGCCGAATGAGATATAACTAGAAACAATACGACATCTCCAGACTTCGATGTAAGCCTCAAGTAGGTGTTTCCGATATCTGGAGGAAGAAAGAGGGAGGTTTAGTTCGTAAACAGGACTTGCACACACATCCTGGAGTCGAACACTACCAGTGACAGGAAGAACTAGTAACTGGTGCCCATAAAGGGTTCCTCCCTGACAAAAAAAAAAAAAAAAAAAAAAAAAAAAAAAGATTGATAGATAGATAGATAGATAGATAGATAGATAGATAGATAGATAGATAGATAGATAGATAGATAGATAGATAGATAGATAGATAGATAGATAGATAGATAGATAGATAGATAGATAGATAGAAATCTGTGATAACGTAGACTGTGATATTTGGGGAGACGGGTATAAAATTGTGATGAAGGGACTCATAGGATTTCCCCCCAGACTACAAATAGAGATGCGAGCAATGGAGGAGGTGATAGGACACCTCTTTCCTGTGCATCAAAGAGTGATATTTAACTGTGATAGAACTGTGATATTTTCGAATTTTAGTATAGATGAACTGCAAACGGCATGTGGGCGAATCAAGGAGAGAAAAGCTCCTGGGCCCGGTAATATCCCACCAGAGATAATAAAAGAGTTCATATTACACAAACCAGTATACACGCTTGACGTATATAACGAACTGGCAAACAGATCATCCTTTCCTCGAGACTGGAAGCGTGCGAAATTGGCATTGCTGAGAAAGGGAGATAAACCCATTGACAGCCCATCAGCTCATAGGCCAATATGTCTATTAGACGTGGAAGGAAAGGTTTACGAGCAACTCATACTTATCAGACTCAATAGAGAACTGGCACGAACGGGTGGACTTTCAGAAAGACAATATGGATTCAGAGCTGGACGACAAACAGTAGATGCTATAAACGAGGTACTGAGGATTGCCCGTTATGCAGAAACAGGTTACTCATGCCCGCATAGAAGATTTTGTGCAGTCATAACTCTCGACGTGAAGAATGCCTTCAACAGTGCATCGTGGCAAATTATACTAGACAATCTGAGGAAGAGAAGAATAGATGAAAGCCTCATAAGCCTCATAGCATCATATCTATCTGATCGAGAAATCATCCTAGAGGCTGAAGACATGACGAGGACACACGAAATAAATAGTGGAGTTCCACAGGGATCGGTGCTCGGCCCAACATTGTGGAACGTCATGTATGATGAACTACTGAGGCTAGTGCAACCAGAAGGAGTCGACCTCATAGGTTTTGCTGACGACATAGCATTGGTAGTGGTTGCGAAAGGAGAGGAGATCCTGATGAACAATGCGAATATTGCACTCCAACGAGTGTCCAACTGGTTGGAACGTCAAGGGCTTCAACTTGCACCGGAGAAAACAGAAGCTGCCCTATTAACTACGAAGAGGAAGATAATGCCAATATGCTTCAATGTGCAGGGAGTGATGGTGTCCCCATCAAGAGCAATAAAGTATTTGGGTGTGTGGTTGGATACCAAACTCACGTTTTCCGAACAAGTATCTAGAGTGACACAAAAAGTGGAGAAAACAATTACAGCCCTGTCAAAACTCATGCCGAATATAGGAGGCCCCAGGGCATCGAAAAGGAGACTTTTGTCGAGTGTAGTTCACTCCCAAATGCTATACGCAGCACCTGCTTGGCACTCAGTGACAAGAAATAAGAAGCTTCTCATGAGACTAGCAAGCGTTCAGCGCAAGATGACCATCAGAGTGTGTTGTGCTTATAGAACAATTTCAACTGAAGGAGCAGGAGTTATATCAGGTATTCCTCCGATCGAACTCCTGATCAAAGAAAGACGTGACAAATATTTGGGAATGGACAGTACAACCGCCAGAGCGAACCATATATCCAGATGGCAAGATGACTGGAGGAATAGTACGAAGGCAAGGTGGACCTACCAACTGGTGCCAAATATTCAAGCGTGGATCAATAGACCTCACGGAGAAGTGGATTATTTCTTGACGCAGGCACTCTCTGGACACGGCTGCTTCAGAAAATATTTATGTGAACGTCAACGAGTAGAGGTAGATACATGTCCATACTGCGGAATTACAGATGATGTCGAACACACATTATTTGTGTGCCCTAACTGGAGAGAAGAACGGGAGAATTACGCCAGAGAGACTGGAGCGCCCTTTGATGCCTCAAACATGATGAAAGACCTAACATCGACCAAAGAGACCTGGGAGCGTGCCTACAGGACTGTTAGGCAGATAATAGAGAGTAAGGAGATAGCAGATAGAAGATGAGAAAAAAAAACATAGAGTAACTATTCAGACAGCTCTCTCACCGAAGTTATGCGCAAGCGGTTCCAGTGAGAAGAGTGAGCTAGGAGGAGGGGTTTTAGTCGGTAAGAATCCGACACTCCCGACTTTAAAACCGGGGTCTTATGCAAGATTTCCCCTCCTCCACAAAAAAAAAAAAAGATAGATAGATAGATAGATAGATAGATAGATAGATAGATAGATAGATAGATAGATAGATAGATAGATAGATAGATAGATAGATAGATAGATAGATAGATAGATAGATAGATAGATAGATAGATAGATAGATAGATAGATAGATAGATAGATAGATAGATAGATAGATAGATAGATAGATAGATAGATAGATAGATAGATAGATAGATAGATAGATAGATAGATAGATAGATAGATAGATAGATAGATAGATAGATAGATAGATAGATAGATAGATAGATAGATAGATAGATAGATAGATAGATAGATAGATAGATAGATAGATAGATAGATAGATAGATAGATAGATAGATAGATAGATAGATAGATAGATAGATAGATAGATAGATAGATAGATAGATAGATAGATAGATAGATAGATAGATAGATAGATAGATAGATAGATAGATAGATAGATAGATAGATAGATAGATAGATAGATAGATAGATAGATAGATAGATAGATAGATAGATAGATAGATAGATAGATAGATAGATAGATAGATAGATAGATAGATAGATAGATAGATAGATAGATAGATAGATAGATAGATAGATAGATAGATAGATAGATAGATAGATAGATAGATAGATAGATAGATAGATAGATAGATAGATAGATAGATAGATAGATAGATAGATAGATAGATAGATAGATAGATAGATAGATAGATAGATAGATAGATAGATAGATAGATAGATAGATAGATAGATAGATAGATAGATAGATAGATAGATAGATAGATAGATAGATAGATAGATAGATAGATAGATAGATAGATAGATAGATAGATAGATAGATAGATAGATAGATAGATAGATAGATAGATAGATAGATAGATAGATAGATAGATAGATAGATAGATAGATAGATAGATAGATAGATAGATAGATAGATAGATAGCTTTTCGTGGGAATTGAATGGAAACAGAAAACAGTACAACGAATCATGACAAATCAGGATTGGTTAATCCTGAGGCATCAAAGGCGGATGAAGGATCTTTCAAGATGCATACGAAGGAAGAATACCAACAAGTATTCGGGCGCAGGGACTCACTGAAGCGCTCCCCCATCGGGAAGAAACGAACGGATGAAAGGCATGAACAGGAAGTAAAGGGATGGGAAGATGAAAATTTGTTCTCTTGCTTGGCAGAAAATATCTTTGAAAAAGAAGATCATTTTGTGGAAGACGCATCAAAAGACCTAGGCTCACAAATCAGAGCATCAGAAACTAAAAGGTTGAAGAGAAAAAGGATAGATGGTACTCCAGATAAGAAACGAGCAGATGAGAAGGGGTTCATAGAGATTAAAAAAGAAACCGAGAAAATGAACCTGAAGTTCGGTAAACTCAATAAAATAGTCTCAGAAAGCACAAATATCAAAAAAGAGATCAAAACAATATGTTGTCAGCTAGAATTGATACTTGATACACTGAATAAGAAAGTAGAAGAATATGGAGAAGAGGACTGGGATGATCAAGAAACAAAACAACACATATCACAGAAAAAATATAAAGATAGTGAAACACAAACATGCGTTCCAGCTACAAGAGAAATATCATGTCAGGCAGGAAGACAAGAGGCAAATGAAATTCTACTTACAGAAATAATAGAAAAAGGACCAAACACTGAGGATTTCCTGCAAATCTTGAACGAGGAATGGCCAGATGATATATATAGCATAACTGAGGAGGTGAAGGGTAAACCAGCGAGAGGAAAAGAGGGGAGAGATATAGCTCTCATCTGGGATCCTCAGGACAATGGAGAAAAGGGTATCACAAAAAGTATAATTGAGAGCCACCCAGAAGTTGAAGAGCTGCTGACGAATAAGCTGAATCAAGATGAGATAGACTATATTGCCAATAGTACTAAAACTATAACCAGCAGAGGTCAAAATATAGAGAAAACCCAGTACATATATTTGCTTCAGCACCAAGGAAAAACGAATGAGGAAGATGAAAGGAATCTGAAATTAATCAGAATGGGAATAGAATTCAAGGAGCTGATGGTGAAATTGAACAGAAACGAAGTAGCTGTTGTGATGTCAGAAGGTCTCGATAGAATAACGATGAAGAAAATACTTGAAGGAATATTCAGAGGAACAGACGTACGGATAAAGATGTATTCTCCGTTAGGAAGCAAAACGAAAGAGAAACCTCGGGTGAACGAAACTGTCCTAATTAAAGCAGGAGAGAAGAGCTACGCAGAACTCCTGATGAAAGTGAAACAAGAAATCGATATAAAAAAAATCGGAGTGGAAATAAAGAACATAAGAAAGACAAATAGCGGAGATCTGCTACTGACTGTTGACGGAGATAGAAAGATGGCGACGACGCTGAAGGATGAGATCAGCAGTAAGATTCAAAACGTTAAAGCTGATTTGAAGAGAAATCATAACACAATATATATATTAGGAATTGATGCTACGACCAAGGAGACAGAAGTGATGCAAGAACTGACAAGAGTCACCAAACTAGATGAATGTGATATGACTATAAGATCATTGAAACCAGGAAAGTATGAGCAGCTTGTAGCTACAGTGGATATACCAAAAGACAGTGCACAACAACTGGTACAAACTGGGAAAATTAAAATTGGATGGGTATACTGTTCAGTCAAGGAAAGAGTCATCGTTCCAAGATGTTTCAACTGCTTGGAACATGGACACAAATCGAAGGATTGTAAAGAGACAACCAGTCGAAGAGACACTTGCCTGAAATGTGGTGTATCTGGACATAAAGCTAAAGAGTGTGAAGCGGAGCAAGTATGTATCAAATGCAAAACCAGTGGGCATCGGGCCGATCAAATGAGGTGCCCGTACTACAAAAAAATCGTGGAAGAGATGAGAAGAGAGAGAACCATAACAATTGGGGGAGGAAGAAGAGGAAGTATCGCCAGGAGACCTCTATAAAAATGGCTATTAAAATCCTGCAAACAAACCTGGGTAGGACAAGAGCGGCACATGACATAGCAGATGTTATAGCGATGAAAGAACAAACGGACCTCATCATAATATCCGAGCCAAATGTGAAAATTGCCTCCAAGAAAGAATACATTATGGACCTCAGCGAAAATATAGCAGTTAAAATATTGAATAAAAATTCGGGAATTCGGAAGCACAAAAGGTACGAAGGTTTTCTGTCACTATCCTTCAAGGATTGGATGATATTTTGTTGCTATATCTCCCCGAATATATCTTTCGACGAGTATAAAAAAATTATTGACTCTGTTATGGCGGAAGCTAGAAACTGTGCTAAAGAAGTTATTATAGCAGGGGATCTTAATTCTAAATCACCTCTATGGGGATCTCCAAATCAGGATAAAAGGGGAGAATATATAGCTGACTGGGCGTCGGAATTGAATTTAACATTTCTGAATACTGGTGAACCTACGTTTCAGAGAGGGAATAGCTTCTCACACATAGACGTTACATGTGCTACTGAAAAAATGACAAAAAGAATATCCAATTGGAGAGTACTATCCGGAGAATTCCATACCTACCATCATCATATTCTGTACTGCGTGGATGGAAATAGAAACAAAAGGAAGATAATACGAAAACAAACTGGTCTTGATAAGGAAAAATTTGCCATTAATTTCATCAGAAGATTGGAAGCCCGTAGAGAACACAACAAAGACACACTAGTAGAAGACATTAAAGAGGCAGAAAAAGAGAGTAGCATAATTATTTTAACCGGCAATGAGGATACACCATATTGGTGGAAGGATGATATTGGAAGAAAAAGAATGGAATGTCTGCGAGCCAGAAGGAAAGCTACCAGACTACACAGCAGATTTGGAAATGATAACGAACAATTCAGACAAGCCCACGAGGAGTACAGGACCAATAAAAAAGATCTGAGGAATAGTATCAGTAGAGCAAAGAGAGAAAACTGGAACAAACTGATCAAAGATCTAGACGAAGACATTTGGGGCTCTGGATATAAGATAGCAGTGAAGCATATGGGGAAAGTATCACTTCCTTACAATATTCAAATAGAACAAAAAGTAGAGTGGTGCAAGAAATTGTTCCCAACAAGTGGTGAAAGAAAATACAGATGGGAAACGATCCCCGAAGATGAGATACATCCGTTCACGCAACAAGAGCTGCAGGAAGCCGTAGATTCCATGAAACTAGACAAGGCGTCTGGTCCAGACAGGATAACACCAAATGCCGTTAAGATAGCAGCCGAAATAGCACCCGAAATTGTACTGAAAGTTCTGAATAAACTGCTGAAAATTCAAGACTTCCCGAGAATATGGAAGGAAGCTCTAGTAGTCCTTATATGGAAGGGGAAAGAAGAAATAGAAGCCTCCTCATTCAGGCCAATCTGCCTTCTGAATACACTGGGTAAGCTCTATGAGAAGTTGATTAAAAATAGACTGGAAAACGAAATTGAAACAAAAGGCGTTATATCGAGAAGACAGTTTGGATTTAGGAAAGGTACATCCACAATTCATGCAATTGAAGAGGTTATCAAAATAGCAGAAGAGTCGAATAGCAAATGGATAGCCCTTATAACCGTTGACATCAAAAATGCATTTAATTCGGCACCATGGGACTGCATCATGGACAAAATATCGAATAAACAACTCTCCAGCTGTATGAGGAATCTGATAGACAGCTATTTGAGTGACCGTAGTATAAAGCTAGACAGGAACAATAAACTGAAGATAACGACAGGTGTCCCACAAGGCTCTGTTCTTGGTCCAACCCTTTGGAATATCTTATATGACGAAGTATTGGACCTGAGGTTGATGGAAGGTGTTACTACAATAGCATACGCTGATGACCTAGCCGTAATAATAGAAGCAGACCAAAATGAGCAGTTGATATACAAGACCAATGAATCACTCAGAAGAATCACTAACTGGATGAAGAAACATGGGCTACAAATAGCACCACACAAAACGGAAGCAGTTATACTAGCAGGTCCCCGGAAGATAGAGAACATTCATTTCAGCATAGAAGGCCAGGAGATAAAAAATGTCAGAAGTGTCAAATACCTAGGAGTTCATTTGGGTACGAAACTTGACTTCAGATCACATATCATATACGTCACACAAAAAGCAGAGGATAAACTATCTTCTCTGAGTCGTTTGATGCCAAACGTGAGGGGCCCTGGAAGCACGAAAAGAATCGTTCTGTATGGAGTAGTACAATCCATACTATTATATGGAGCTCCCATATGGGTGAAGGCACTTGGTGTCAAGAAGAATACGCAACTGCTAACTAGAGTACAAAGGAGAGCGCTACTGAGAGTAATAAGTGGATATAAGACAATATCAGCAATTGCAGTACAAGTAATCGCAGGAATTCCACCTATAAAACTATTGGCGGAAGAAAGATTTCGACTACACAGTAGACAGAATGCTCGATCAGCAGCGATTAAATTGGAAGAGAGAGAGAGAACGCTGGAATGCTGGCAAGAGAAGTGGAATCAACCAAGCACGGAGGGAAATTGGACGAAGATTTTAGTGAGAAATATAAAAAACTGGGTGGAATGCTCACATCGAAGGACAAACTACTTCCTGACACAATTTTTATCCGGACATGGTTCTTTCGGAGACTTCACTCACCGAATTGGCAAATCGGTAACGGATAGTTGCATCCATTGTTCTGAAGCGGACTCTGCCGAACATACTGTCTTCAACTGTATCAGATGGGTAAGAGAGAGAGCAGAACTCAATAGAAATCTGGGAGTCACCATCGAAGTGGACAATATTATTGACCTAATGATGAGTAATAAAGCAACATGGATTATTATAGAGAGATACATACAGCATATAATAAGCATCAAAGAAGAGGAAAGCCGAATGAGATATAACTAGAAACAATACGACATCTCCAGACTTCGATGTAAGCCTCAAGTAGGTGTTTCCGATATCTGGAGGAAGAAAGAGGGAGGTTTAGTTCGTAAACAGGACTTGCACACACATCCTGGAGTCGAACACTACCAGTGACAGGAAGAACTAGTAACTGGTGCCCATAAAGGGTTCCTCCCTGACAAAAAAAAAAAAAAAAAAAAAAAAAAAAAGATAGATAGATAGATAGATAGATAGATAGATAGATAGATAGATAGATAGATAGATAGATAGATAGATAGATAGATAGATAGATAGATAGATAGATAGATAGATAGATAGATAGATAGATAGATAGATAGATAGATAGATAGATAGATAGATAGATAGATAGATAGATAGATAGATAGATAGATAGATAGATAGATAGATAGATAGATAGATAGATAGATAGATAGATAGATAGATAGATAGATAGATAGATAGATAGATAGATAGATAGATAGATAGATAGATAGATAGATAGATAGATAGATAGATAGATAGATAGATAGATAGATAGATAGATAGATAGATAGATAGATAGATAGATAGATAGATAGATAGATAGATAGATAGATAGATAGATAGATAGATAGATAGATAGATCCCAGGGGGTTTGTATCTAGCAAGCACGGGATTGGCAAACCCGGGATCCCCGAGCTGGTCCTGACTCTCCTTCAACTAGTCTAGAGTCAGAATCCTATATCTTTCCACTTTCCTATCGGTCTCCCTAGACCAACTCTTGCTTTTTTCCGATCCCGACGCTATTAGGTCTCGAGGGCTAGGGGTCTCTCAGTTTCCTTCTTTAGTCCTCTTCTTCAATGGAACCCAAGGTGTTAAACGAACCGTGCTGAGGGGTGAATGGCTACACATCAGATAGTCTTGAACGGTGTCCTGCGAGAACCAGGCGACCCTCGCTTGAAAGGAGCCCTAGTGTGGTACGGGCGCACTGCCACACCGGACATTATATTTCGACCCTTTTCGTGGGAACAGAATGACAGAACTTACCAAAAATTTGAGAGAGACAGCCGCAAGTAAAGAGATACCGAATCCTTTCGTGAGAAGAGAGGGAATCCAAAGGTCTCCAGTCAGGATGAGAGCTTCCTCCCTTCCTGCTGGAGATGAACAATGGTTGGTAGAAGGGGGAAGACGTGAAAAAAGAAAGAGAGAAAATGATAAGGTATGGAGTCCTGAGAATAGCCAGGTAAAAGGTCCGAGAACTACGATGGAAATCAGAAATATCATGGAAGGTTTGTCCCGACATATCAGGCAGCTTGATAAAATAGTCAATGACATGTATAAACCAAAGAAGGAATTAACAGACGTTTCAGGCAAACTACTTCTCCAACTGGAAAAGCTCCAGAGTGGAGAAATGAAGAAATGGCTGGACGAGGTATCATCTGGAATGGAGCAAAAAGAAATACAGTGGAAAAACGAAACAGCAAACCTACGCAGGCAAATAGAACTACTGGAAGACACCCACAAAAACGAGATAGAAAACCCTAGCCACCGTCATGTACAATGTAAATCCTGTAAGAAAGAGCAACTCATGTTCACCAGAAGACAGTTACTGAGACCAGATGATAGTTATGAAACCTTCAAACGAATCTCAGAAGAAGACTGGCGAGATGGAATCTTCTCGAAAATCCAAATCTACTGTGGAAACATATGGGAAATAGCGAACGAACAGGTGATGGTCCTACCTTGTAACAAAGACTTTTCCACCACCCACAAGCTAGTAGGTAGGGTGATAGAAAGACTCGGTGGCAAGAAGGATCTTGAAAACCAGGGTAAATCGAAAGGGGAAGTTGCAATGATGATGCATTCACTGGGCTTTCCCGATGAAGATGGAAACCTTACGCATAAGTCGAGGGTGATACTCTACCCAATCACTTCAGATGGAGGAAGGTACCAAGAAGCGGATGACGAAAGTATTTTGCAAGCGCTGAGAGTTGTTAAAACCCTCATGATACGCCAAGAGAAGACCAAACTAGTCATTCCAGAAATGGAGGGAATAACTGGATTGATGATGTGTAGACTACTGGAAAATAGAAATAACCGTAGCGAAAGAACACGAAAACCAGCCACCAAGGCAGAAACAAAAAACGCCCCAGACCACAAGAACAGATAATTCTGTGAAGCAGATGAGAAAGAAACAGGATGCGCTACTTGTGAAAATGCCCAATGTCAGTTATGCAGACTTGCTCAAGACAGTGAAACAAAGAGTCAATCCGACTGAGTTTGGAGTTGAGATAAAGGATGTCAAAAAGACCAAGAGTGGGGAACTCCTGCTAACTGTCAGAGATGGGGTCGATAAGCTAGAAATTCTCAAGGAAAGGATTCAGCAAACCGTACCTGACATATCGACATCACTTCTTGTGAGTAAAAAAGTACTCCATATAAAGGACTTGGATGAGGTGACGTCTATTGAGGAGATTAGAAAAGCCATAACAGAGTGTATATCGGTGAAGCCAGAAGAACTAGAAGTGAAAGCCCTTCGTCCTGCCTTCTCCGATAGACAAAATGTAACAGTTGTTCTTAATGAGGCAGACGCTCAAAAGCTGATAGCTATGGGAAGAATAAGAGTTGGGTGGAAACAGTGTAGGGTTCTAGAGAGGAAGAAGGAACTCAAATGTTTTAGGTGCTGGATGTTAGGGCATGCAAAAGCAGAGTGTAAGGGGCCAGACAGGGAAAATCTATGCCTCAAATGCACTAAGTCAGGACACAAGGCAGTGGATTGCACCAACGAACCATTCTGCGTGCACTGCAATCTGGAAGGTCACCAATCCTCGAGCCCAAGGTGCCCATGCAACAAAGACGAAAGGAAACAGCAGGAGGTGCTCCAGAAGACTGACAACGTAATGGAAATATAAAGCTCCTCCAAATCAACACGTTTAGAAGACGACCATGCCACGATCTAGCATTGGCTACAGCGAGAGAAATTGGTGCTCATATCACGCTTATGGTGGAACCTAATCGTAATGCTATTAGAACAAGGAAGGATTGGATATATGATGCAAACCTAGATTCTGCCATCAGAATGAATGATTGCAATATCACTGTGAATAAATGTGGCAGAGGACGCAGTTTCACATACATAGTTATGTCTGACTTCACCCTTTATAACTGCTACGCATCTCCAAACGATGATCTCGAAGAACTAGAGGGCATTCTCTGGGATATCGGCAGACTTATAAGAATGAATAGAGAAAAAGCAATTATAGTAGGGGACTTCAATGCGAAATCTCCACAATGGGGCCTAGATATAACAGACAGAAGAGGGCAAATAGTAACAGAGTGGCTCGCCGAAAATGATCTCGTGGTAGTAAATGAGGGAAACAAACCCACCTTCCAGAGGGGAAACTACACCTCCATCTTGGATTTAACGATTGCTACTACTAATATTAGAAATCGAATCACGAAATGGGAGGTCAGCGACCTAGAATCTTTGAGCGATCACAATTACATCATCTTTGAAGTCGCAGAAAACCCATTGCTGCAACAGACAACGAATCGAAGCGAAGGCTGGAAGACCAACAAGCTAGACAAGGATAAACTACAAACATTGACCGTGGTTGCTCGAGATGAAAACATTGTTCCATCCGCAGAGGCTCTCACTCGAACACTGACCGAGATATGTGACCAAACCATGCCCAAAAAAAGCAATATGAGGAAACAACATCCCGTCTACTGGTGGAATGAGAGCATTGCTCAAAAACGCAAGGATTGCTATCGAAAGAGACGATTATACACCAGGAGTATGAGACGTAACGTACATGAAGAAAGCCAGCGCCTATGGGAGGAATATAAAAGTAGCAAAAGAGTTCTTCAAAATTGTATCAAAGAATCGAAGCGTGAACACTGGAAACTCATCTGTGATAATATAGACTGTGATATATGGGGAGACGGATACAAGATTGTAATGAAGAGTATGATTGGCTTTCCACCCAGACAACAAATTGCCATGCGTACCATGGAAAATGTTGTGGAGCACCTTTTTCCGGTACATGAACAAGTAAATTTCGACTGTGATATGACTGTGATATTTTCAAATTTTAGTATAGATGAGCTGCGCAAGGCGTGTGATAAACTGAAAGCAAATAAAGCCCCTGGACCGGGAAATATCCCACCAGAAATAATTAAAGCACTCGCCGCGAATGGAGCTGACTATGTCCTGGCGGTATATAACGACTTGGCTAGACAAGCAAAATTTCCGATGGAGTGGAAACGCGCAAGGCTGCTGTTGCTGAGAAAAGGGGATAAAGCTCTCGAAAACCCGTCAGCATATAGGCCGATATGCTTGCTAGACGTAGAAGGTAAGCTATATGAACAACTTATTCTTATTCGATTGAAGGAAGAACTACTTCGTACAGGGGACCTATCAACAAGACAATATGGATTCAGGGAAGGAAAGCAAACAGTTGATGCCATAATTGAGGTGATAAAAATCGCCAAAAGGACCGAGAACGAGTATAGCAGTGCACACAGAAGGCTATGCGCTGTTATAACTCTGGATGTGAAAAATGCGTTCAACAGTGCTAGCTGGCAATTGATCCTGGAAGAACTCAGGCGGAGAGAGATAGACGAAAGTCTAATCAGCGTGATAGCGTCCTATCTTGCTGACAGGCAGGTGATCCTTGAAGCGGAGAACGCTTCCAAAACCATCAATATTTCCAGCGGAGTGCCACAAGGGTCGGTCCTGGGTCCAACCCTTTGGAATATTTTGTACGACGGACTTTTGAGGATAGAACTACCCACGGGAGTAACGCTCATAGGTTTTGCAGATGACATCGCGATGGTAGTGGTCGCTAAAGGAGAAACAATCCTGATGAATACAGCAAATATCGCACTGCAATGTGTCTCAAATTGGCTGGAACGGAAAAGGCTCAAAAATAGCACCAGAGAAAACAGAGGCTACCCTTCTGACGACTAAAAGGAAAATCGATCCAATTCAGTTTGAAGTGCAGGGTGTGATAGTTACACCAAAGAAAGCGGTGAAGTATCTGAGAGTCTGGTTAGACACCAAACTCACTTTTGCTGAACACACTAAACAGATCGCCCTGAAAGTCGAAAAAACGGTGACAGCTCTGTCAGGGCTTATGCCAGATGTCGGTGGACCTCGATCATCTAAAAGAAGAGTTTTACTGAGTGTTGCCCACTCACAGATGTTGTATGCAGCACCTGCCTGGCACTCAATGATAAAAAATCAGAAACTTGTTGCTCAGCTCACGAGAATACAGAGGAAGATGATGATAAGGATTTGCTGTGCCTACAGAACAATCTCAGCAGAGGGAGCAGGTGTGATAGCTGGAGTTTCACCGATAGAACTCATGATCCAAGAAAGGCATGAAAAATATAGTGGTGTGAATAAGATCATAGCTGGAGCAAACCTGATTTCCAGGTGGCAAAATAAGTGGAACACCGGAAAATATGGCAGATGGACCTACTATCTGATACCTGATATCCAAGAATGGATGAGAAGGCCATTCGGTGAGGTCGACTACTTCCTGACACGAGCTTTATCTGGACATGGATGCTTCAGGAAATACCTATATGACCGCAGAAGAGTAGAGTCTGAAGCATGCCCATACTGTGGAGGACTGGATAACGCGGAGCATACTCTCTTTGCTTGTCCAAGATGGGAAAGCATTCGACGAGAGTTTAACGAATCAACAGGAATGCCCTTCACTGCTGTGAATATGATGACGAATCTTGTGTCCAGTGAGGAAAAGTTCAAATGCTCATATAGGACAATCAGAGGCATAATTGAAACGAAAGAAAGAGAAAGTAGAATTTGAAAGAGAAAATCCAGACTGCCCCACCCGCCGAAGTGATGCGAAAGCAGTTCCAGTGAGTGGGGTGTATTGGGAGGAGGGGTTT